AAGCTGCCTGCATATCAAACAGGTGGTGTTTTCTGTCCCTGAATCTTTGCCAGACAAAAAGCCTCTTGGGGGCAATTTGGAACACAAAAAGGATGCAGTAAATTGAAGGCAACTAAGATTTTTCTTAAATATTTTAATTTCAAACTGAGACAATTGCTTTTGATGTAATGAGAATATGGTAATATAGGTAGTCCTTAACTTATGACCGTTATTGAGCCTGGAATTACAGTTGTAAGTTGTGCTGGTTGTTAAGTAGATCATCACACATGGTTGTGCCTGATTTGATGACCTTTATGTGCGGCAGTCACTAAACAAATGCAGTGGTTGTTAAATGAATCCATTGTCTGCAATGGGGTTTTTTTTTTGGTCGGGAACCAAAAGCAAACACCAGTTTTCAGCAAAAAACATAAATTGCTATCAGGTGACAGCAGGATGCTGCAAAGACACTGTAAATGCAGACCAGTTGTGGAGTGTGCAAAAATGCAATTACATGATCTCTGTGTAGAGGTGGGGGAAAGAAGGGGTGCCTGGCCATCAGAACTTCAAACCTGGCTTGTAAATAGGCCTGGAATGATCTGTTACAACTTCAAACAGTTGCTAAGTGACAGGTAGGATTCTATTTTTTTTGTCTAACCTTCCTATGACAGTAGAATTGTCTTACATTCATAGTAATCTCCTAGTCTCATTCTTCCTCAAATCTCCCCCAAAGAGTTTTTCTATTAAAATAATAATCTATATAGTCAGTTTACCACTGTGGGAGGTCAGCCCCCCAGAGAAGGAAATATTAAAAGGGTAGGAAAATATATTTCCTCAAAAGGATTTTAAAAGCAGAAACCAACCCTGCCCCCAAGTCTCTCTGTTCCAAGGAGAAGCCAGCTCTGTACAAATGCAGATGCAAACCATCAGGAAAGTTGGAGCTAGAAGCTTAGAAGACAGAGACACCTAAAATCTACATACCCCACCCAAACTCTAGGAGTCATAATAATAATCTATAATCATCATCATCATCATCATCATCATCATCATCATCATCATCATCATCTCTAGGAGTCATTAGCCCCAGCACCAGGGAAGCAGGATATAACCCTTGGGACATAATAGGACAGTGATGGCGAACCTTTTAGAGACCGAGTGCCCAAACTGCAACCCAAAATCCACTTATGCATCATCGGGTGCCGGGTGGGTGTGGCCCATTGAGTGGGCGTGGCTGCGGTGGTAACAGCAGACTGGGTGGGACTAAAAAGTTCAATCAATCAATTCCAACTTTGTAAGATCTTTTTTTTCCCCGCAAAAAGTTGAAATTGACTGATTGATTGAACCTTTTTTTTTTTGCACACGGCGGCAGAGGCCTAAAGCGAAAAGGTTTTGTAAAACCCAGCTGATTGGGGCAATGGCGCACGTGCCCACAGAGAGGGCTCTGAGTGCCGCCTCTGGCATCTGTGCCATAGGTTCGCCACCACTGTAATAGGATTAACCCACCACCATCAAGAATACCAGAAAGGCACACCCAGACTCAGAATACGTGACACAGGAAATACAAAGTCTGAAACAGGAACAGGAAACTACTTCAAACAAAAGGCTTGAGAGGGTATAAAAATCTACTACCCACATGTGCTCAGTCTTTTTTTTTCCCTCCTCTTTCCTGCCAGAACCATCTTTCTGTCTGGCTCTTCAATAAACTGCAACCTTCTTTCTAAAGCATTCACCATGTTCTTTATCCTCGGCTTGGATGAATCATGATGAAGACTTTTCTTTCAACACCACCTTCAGACATTTACCAGCCATCACAATCCAAAAGAAAATAAATTTTGGAGGGATTTCAAATGAACTTGGAAATAAACTGACTCAGCTTCCAAAAATAGATAGTTTGAAATTAGTTCAGAACCAGAGTTTTTTGTTTCTGAAAGTACCCAAGGAATTGCAGTTAAAATTTCTAGGAAATTAAGGCAAATGGCAGAGGGAAAGGCAAATCAAAAACCCTCAGTTTTGATTTTTTTAACAAGGCAAACTGGCAGTTGAGGAACTTACCGGATCCAGATAACAAGGCAATGCTTCTGCAAGGAGCTTTTCAGTGCAGCAGGTCAAGTCTGTAGGCTTGAGAACCACACAATTCCCTAATATGGGAAGATAATACTTTACCATGGTTGCAACAGATTAACATCCACCACATGCCTGGATCTCTTGGAAGAACACTAATCAGATCTAATGTCTAAACTGAATTAGGAAATAGCTTCTCACTCACCAGCTGCAATGGCTCCCACAAGGGGCAACAAAGTAACGTTGATAGGATAGTTAAAGGCTCCAATGATCAGCACCACACCGTATGGATCCTTGCGAATGAAGGCACAATCCAGCAGTGTTATCTATAGAAAACCAGAAAAATCCATGAAACCAATTGGGAAAGGGAAATTAATAGAAGATTTTGTAAGAGTGGAAATACTTGATGAGCTACAAAGTAAGTTTGGCAACTATAGTGTGGGAAGTCACCCCCCCCCCAGAGAAGGAAATATTTTTGGGGATATTAAAAAGGCAAAATATTATATTTCCCCAAAGGAAAGCAGGCCCAGGTTTACTTAATAGCCCCAAACAGAAATTCTGCAGACCAGGTCTGTAGAAATGCAGATTTGACAATCCCATTCAAAAAGTCTAAGGCCCCATTCATGAGCAAATACTGTCTGCAGAAACCCA